CCGTCTGGGCATCTCTATTCGATTGCTGGATAACTACACTCATCCAGAAGGATTCTGACAAGCACTACGGTGCAGAATCAAGCTCTGTGCTGGAGGATATACCACAGTAGGAGTGACCCACCGAACACAGTTGGTGTGTGTCAAAGAACTGCTGGCTAGCATGCAGAAACGTGTGTGATGGGTATTGTCTCGTTTTGGGTAATTTCAATGCGCCACATGTTAACTGGGGAACTAACATCCGATATCAACAGGCGGATTTATTTTCCAGAAAGCTTCATTTTTTTGTCCATGATCTCTCGCTTGTTCAGCATATCCGTGAATCCACCGGATAGTTGGTGAACAGGAATTCATCCTCGACTTGGTGTTTTCTCCGAGGCAATCAGATGCGACCAAGACTGACCACCTCCCACTAATTGCATCTCGTGGGCACTCCGTTGCGAATATACTGGTAACGTGGCGTACCACATACGGACAGACCACAAGATGGATGAAATGTGTGGCGCTCATCTTTTCCGGAGATGCGTCAAGCTGCGGCACTCGTGAAGTGGGGTTTCCATCACTCTGAGGATGCGGATGAGTCCTGGGAGTTGGTTCGTTAAGAAATCTATCACCTCGTGCAGGAATTCTTTCCACCCCACCTCTACCGAACACACGTCATGGGCCCGCTGTCGTTGGATCAGGAACTGCGGAGGTGCCTCAGGCAGTGAAACAAAGCTTGGTCTGAGTATCGCGGGATATGAGGAATTCGGAGTCATTCGGAATTAGCTGACTGCATTGAGTAAATGCAAGAGGGCTCTATTGGAGCAACGCTCTGCAGCGGATTCTGCAGAGGCAGCAAAGTGGGTGTATGCTTACCTCAGGCGACGAATAAGAACTATTCCGGGCATCCCGACAGGGTAGTTGCTGAAAACGATGTGGACAAAGCCAAGATGTTGGTATCGCTTTATGCCTCGGAGAGGTTGTTTTGGAGCTGTGTCGGCTGAAAGCTCATCAGTCACCTGGACCTGATGGTGTGCATCCGTTCATCCTGAGAGAGCTAGCAGACGAACTTGCAGTGGCGTTGTGCAATCTGTTCAATGAGTCTCCCATTTAAGACGGTTTACCGCGGCAGTGGAATGATGCTGTCATTGTGCTACTAGACAAAGGCGGTGAGAAAAGTGACTCTGGAAACTACCGACCAGCCAGCCTTACTAGTGCTGCGGGTAAAATAATGGAACGACGGGTGACGGCACGGCTTCGGTAGCATTTAGTGTGCCGTGGTCACCTGTGGCACCAACAACACGGTTTTCTGCCGGATTGCTCATGCCTCTCGAACCTGCTACTGGCCCGTCGATGCTGTAAAAGGCCAAAGGACATGAAACGGACATTATCTTTGTGGACTTCAGTAAGGCCTTCGACAAAGTGCCTCACAACCGTCTTCTGAGAAAGCTGTTCAGCAATAGCGTAGGTATGGCGCTGCTGAATTAGCTGCAAGACTCTCTTACCGACAGGAAACTCTGCGTCCATGTTGTCAGGTCGCTATCTACGTGGAATACCGCCTCCAGTGGGGTTCCCCCAAGGCTCTGTTCTTCGTCCACTCCTCTTCGTGGTTTATGTCAATGACTAGCCTGGTCAGCTGCATAGCCCATCAGACATGTATGCGGACGGCATCAAAATCGAGGGTCCAGAGGATCGGAATACGCAATGAAAACCCTGCCTCAGTGGGCGAACACGTGGGACATTCTAGTCAACACCGCCAAGTGCGCTTACTTGCACCTTGTTCGTGCTGATTCGAGGGTGGTTTACAGAACCACATTGCGCAGAATAGTGTGAAGGGACCTATTAGTTATGGTAACGTCATCACAAAGACAGAACACCGATAGGATCAGTGCCAGTGGATAGAGCATTTTGGGATCCATTCGGAGATCTTTCAGTCGGGTACGATGGATGCTTTTAGACTGCTGTACGCTTCCCACGTCAGACCGAGACGTGAGCATGCTAGCACCGCGACATACCTCTGCACGGCCGGTAAACTGGTCAAGTTGGAGTATGTACAACGTGTTACCACTAGACTCGTCGTAGGACTATATGGGATCAGCTATGAAGGTCGTCTACTAGTCTGCTCCCATTTGCGTATCGGTGCGTCCGGGGAGATCTGATCTGCCTACAGAAGATCGTGAGGGGTGATATGAGAGCGGAGTTGCAGCAGCATTTTCCACTACGGACCAAGGAACGCACGGGGGCACTCTCCAATGTCGCGAAAACTTCGATCGGTTGGTCTTCTGTTAGTCTACCGACTCTTTTGAAGGTCAATACCGATTTGGAATGCTCTTTAAGTGACCGTGGTGGAGAAGAACGACACTGTTTTCAAGCGGCGTCTGGGACTATGGAGGGATGACCACATTGAATCGGACCTTCTATCCAGTGGTAACAGGACTTACCCGGATATCTTGCCCTCTGTCATTAATAGAAGAACAGAATAGAAGACTGAGCTTAGATTGAGGAACTCGGCCTTCCGTATGAAATATACATATATATATATATATATATGCACTTTTTAGTCAACTCATATTTTTGTACGTTTTACGTCCCACGTGTTCACCTCTGTTTTTACCGGAATTGTAACGGTGGTCTATTTTTGGCTGAAAGCTAGTATATAGCTAGTTAAAGCTTAAATACAACACAATCATAAGTAAGCTGAAAACCGGCGGCCATATTGCAGCAGATGAAGACTTTGGTCTAATTTCCATTGAAACAGAAGAGAGTTGTTCCGACAGAACGACCGATATAAGAGCAGATCCACAAAGCTAACTTTGACTTGACTTGATTTAACTTCTGAGACGTCACAAAGCGCATGTTTAGTGGACAAGCGCTTCTTGACAACCACTAGTTTTAGTCCTCCTGAAAACCTACGTCACGATTGTCACACTCAAAAACATAGATGGGAAACACAGAAAGCCTAATCGAGATCCTTAACAGAAAAACACAGACGCAATCTTTTGATTAGGACAGTACGGCACCACGCATCCACTGATCCTGCTAACTATGGAACCGGACAACTGGATGAGAGAGCGCAAGTGCAAAGCAGTGTCCCAGTGAGCCACTTTGTCTAGCTGAAACTACATAACATAGTCCATCAGTATAAGCAAGTTACAGATTTTCATGATTGCTCACTCTAGAACGAACCTAGAGGTGATCATTCGACGGGAATGATTGCGAGTAAGGGCTTTCATTCTTAAATTGAGACAACTCCGGATCTCCAAACACTCCACATTGACTTCCCGAAACACTGCTTAGGTAAGTGCAATCGAAACGTAACAACTAGATACATTGAGTTATATACCTTCGGATGGCTTATCGAAACCACTTACGCAGTAGCAACCTCTGATTCACAGACTTCCGAAGATTTGATATAAATCAACCACAAGTGTGTGAGACACAACGGACCCCACATCACGGCAGCTGTCGGTCTGAGAAACACACAGCCGAGAGCTAATATGATAAACCGACGCACATGTGCCCCATCGGGTTTACCGGATTTGTCCCGTGTCAGAATCGACCATACCGGATAGTTGGCTAAAGCGACGGTGGTCAGGGCCCATTCGAGACAGTTGGCCAGCGGGCGTGTGCTACAGAATCCGGTGAACCAATTAGTCAACTGGTGGAAAAGAACCCACTATTAAGGGCGGGGGAGGGAACAATTAAGATGACAGAGGAATACGAGAGACTTGTTAGTCGGTGAACAGTGGTAATAGTGTGGTATAATGTACAGCATAATAACAATGATCTCTTACTTGCTTATATAGGGCACAATTGAATTTTAGGAAGAAGGAATCAAACAGTCAGAAGACATCTAGAATATACCACTAAAAGAGAAAGTTAAATGATGGCATTGGGATTCTATCATGCAAGTCCAGGGATGATGTTACAATAAATATACCGGTTGATCAATGCTGTTCAAAGTGACCGTCAAAGGTGGGAATCAAACCAGAAACCTAAACATGTGTATACAAAAAAGTAGAAAACTACCCTCCATTTGGACGCCCTAGACCACTCGACACTCAGAGATTTTCGTCAACTCATTTGGTGTCAATCCTAACTTNAACTTTCACATGTCCTGAGAAAGAGTAATGTGAATTCGTCGTTTATATAGCAAATGAAGCTCAAACTGGTTGTGAACCAGGTTGTGAATGTTTCCAACCGAGTCATAACCCGGAGGCTATTACTGAGATGAGCAGGGTCTGCGCCCCGCAAAAAGCTCGCAAAGATGGGTTGTGCTATAATGTGTAAGGGGAAAATGAAAAATGGTCTGATCAGCTGCCCGGTGACCGAGTTGGTAGCACGCTTGCGTTCTGCCTGTGAGATCCCGGGTTCGATCCTCAGTTGGGTCGATGGATTGGCACTGCTGATGAAACCCAATTAGGTCGAAACAGTTGTCCATTGCTTCCTACCTTTGCAGTTCACGTTTCATTTGCTATATACACGACGAATTCACCTTTGAAAGTGAACCAGGTGCTCCATAACTCACCTGATATTATGTGAATCACCGAAACGGAGAAGCGAAAATCTGACGTTTTGCGGGGATTTTTTTACTTCGGAAGAAAAGATGAACCAGCATCATGGATGATTCAGTTCAGTCCAGTTTTTACAACCAACAAATCTGCACCTTCATGTGGAGGTTTTACTTTCTGTCTTTTAGTTGCTCATTTAGATACCAGAGCAGAGGGAAGATTGGAATGTTGAAAGAGTAGTCAACAAGAAGATAGAGAATTCTTATAAACTGAGATTACAAAAATAATGAGTAATTGCACGAGCGACAGAAGGCGACTAACCACCTGTTACCACGATCTCAGGGTCCACATTGAAGGAGCCCAACGCGACCTATATGACCAAGTCTCCTAGTTAGGACGTCCATACCCTCATGTCAGATCTTGATTTGACCCCCCCCCACACACACACTGATGTTTTATATCCCCGACATGGCTCGCAAACATCGCGCGCCGTGACAGCGTATTTGGTGACACGCGCAACACATGCCCCAATCGGCCCGATCACTAGAGGTACCCAGTGGGCAAAGACGGTTGCTTGAAACTCTAAGTGTAACGTCGGCAGTGCTTATACGGTTTCTCCACCAAACTCGTGCAATNCAATGCGGTGAACAAAAAACGACAGCCTTTCTTTATCTTGTTACCTTAGTGGCCATGTTTCTGTATCGTTAAGCAGCACTGGCCGAACTGCTGCAGCATATACTAGACCCTTCAAAGACAGCCAGATTTCGCGATGGCGCTGTGGATGTCTCAAGTTGACAACTTCCAATAGAGGCTCTTCCGCAGTGCATCCTCGAGGTGAGATATAGCTGCCCAAGTAGAAACATTTGTCCACTACTTCGATAACTTCATGGATGGTAACCGACCAAAAACCGTAACCAGAGGCGATGTCAGAAAGCAGGTTGCGGTTCTAAGTCAGTAAATTTGTCGCTCCAGGAGCTATAAGAACGCGAAATGCGTTGCTTCTCAGGGACAACCAAGTATGAATATAGCGAGATCACGCTGCAAGGCGCCTAACAGAAGCCAATCCTGACAAACTTTTCAAACCTCTAGGGCAAGTCATGATCCGATCACCAAGATAATTTTTCCACCCTTGTCCAGTAAACGCAGAGAGCACAAACAGATTGACGGAAGGCAGGCATTTGAAAAAGATAACTGAGCGATCGGAGGCGATGTAGAGTGATTTCTTCTTTGAGGGAACGACTATTTGCATTCAACATACGAAGGCGAACTTCATTGCTCAACTGATATTACAAATAGATACGATCAATGTTACGCATAACTTGATGGTTGAATGCAGTATGTCCACTGGCATCCTTAGCTCGAAAAAGTCAGGTTTCGAAACCCTGAAGCAGACAACCACGAATTGCGGTGATGCACCCTCTCCCCTCAAGATAAAGCTGAATGTCACGGCAACGCCACATTTGTTGCAGATTAGTAAAAGCCACTCTAGTTTTCGCTAATCGTGATGCTGTCACCTTCCGGACTCCAACTCCAATTGTAATCAAGCTCCTGAGGTACTTGAAGCTCTGAACTACTTGTAGCTGATCACCACAAAGGGTGAGTACAACCAGAGGCTCCTATTAGCGTTGAACAGGTACGTAAACAACGTAAAAAACGTATTGTATTCGGATACCTAGTTCGGCAGGCGGACAGCCTGTTCATGTTCGCCCAGAGGGGAGGGGGCGATGCGATTGGTCATCATCAACTGAAGAACTGTGTTACCGGAGAAAAATGGAAGCACACCGTTAGCCGGGCCAAACAAAGCATTCTGTGGAACATGCTCTATGTAAAGTTGAAACGGAATGTAATATAAGGCAGCCTTGTCACACCAGACTGGAGGCGGCAAAGAATGTCGAAAGCTAACCGTGGACCCTAGCCCGATATAAGTACTAGAAGTTCGGTACCGGACCTTTCAAAAACGTTTTAGGCCTAGGGATGAAATCGAGGGTCCCGCGGATGTCCAAAAACACGCCATCAGCTTCAAGATGATGTTTTACTAGCTCAAGATACCCAACGAGTCTGGGGTGAATTTTATCTGATCAGAATAATTCCGTACGAAACCACGCCTTTATTCAGTGGTGCGCTACGCTCGTGCAAGTCACACTGCTATCTAAGAACTTACATGGCTTCAGTTTAGGGATCTGGTTACCAAGCGAGCAGCACCTATGATCATCAACTAGTGCCTCTCGAATGAACTAAATTCTTATTCAGAATAAGCAGGTGGTGCAGCTACTCCCTTATTCACGATCTTGAGACAAGCCTAGAAGCATTCAACTGGAATCCCTATGGGGCCAACCGGGAATTGCAAATAAAGGTATGTTAACATTTTGTAGTTTCAACAGGAAAGCTAGCGAAAATCATAGACTAGGAAACTACAGAACATAACGTGGTACAGGAATAGAGTAGCAGGTGTTGTGTCATCGGTGAGAGAGATGCCGGACAGAGTAGACAAATGGCTTCGATGATGATCCAAGGGGAATACATCATATCACATTTTTATATCCATCCGGTGCAATTTAGAAAAAACATCAACTGGAAATTCGTAATTAGGTATTTTCATCATTTTCATTGTATAAAGAAATATTTTACTCATATTAAGTCAGGTGTAACATTTCATCCTGAATATTTAGGGGGGAGGGAACCGGCACCCCGGAAAAAAGATACATAGTCTGAAAACGGAATAAAGGGTATTAGCCGTTGGGGTCCTCTACGTGCATGATATGATGTGATGTTGACCTAAGACGAACATTAACTATTCAGAATCAATGCTTGTATTGAACAACACAGTAATAATCTCAGCAGGAATGAAATTTACAATTTAACTTTCGAGTAAAAACACCATAAAAGAGATCGATAAACTTGATAAAAAAAACATTAACCGGGAGAGCGACTAGTCTAGAATTCGCATGCGAAATGGTATTGTTCAGAAAAGATTAGGACAAGCTAACGAATTGAATGATGGAGCATCAATGGTCCGCATGCATTCCGCTCCTTCAATTTTACAAGTGTTACATACCCTAAAGTCAGTGCCGGGATGAGGAGAGTTGATCATCACAAACAACAGTAACGGTATCGATAAATTGGCGTAAAAATGACAAAACGTCTAATCTGAAACAGGTCATCATAAATCTCAAAAGAACGTAGGATAGTTAATGGAACGGTCCGACGGCAGACGGAATTTTCTGTTGTTACAATTTCAAACATGATAATACACTCTAGAAGGTCTTGTTCATTTTCGACCTTCTGCACGATGTAACATACTACTCACAAACATGAGTAGTATCACGATAAGATTAATGCGAAGGTTAGGTGCTGAATTTTCGGTATCCGCTATCATACAGTGGAGTGAGTGCTTGACCTACTTAGATTACAATGGCTGAGGTATATGCCCTGCGTATCACCACATAACCTTCCTCCGTATCGTACAAGTATTCACTTCCTAAGTATTCTATGCATAAGTACATTTGCTTTCAGGGTCATTATTTTGGTAGTGCTTTTAAATTTTCAAAACTCCTCCACTGGCTTCTTTATCACTGACCGATCAAATAAATGGATAACCAAATGAANAATGAAAGGAAACCAAACCATAACGAGTTTGCCGCTGTCACCAGTGTCTTTTGAACCTGATGGTCTGGAGTTCGAACCCCAACACCCCCACCTGACTTTTGTTGTAGTCAGCTTTTTCTTCCGTCTAGTTCAATAACGCGCCTCACCCAGCGTGGCTTTTTGCGGTTCGCCAACCCGGTCTGGGGGATCAGGTTGCCGGCGTGTGAACGGCAGGTCATCGCAACTATCAGATTCAATCCGTCTGCTGTTCACCGTACGCATGTATGTAGAAAAAGTAGTAGTAGAAAAAGAAGAACAGAGTAGGATTATTGATTATGAAAACCGAAACACTTATATTATTATTGATTGCATCAGACTGATCAACTTAACTTCATTGACCTTTGAAACAACCTAATTCTAAGAACGGAGTTGCTGCTGGCTGTTACGGTGGAGTCTGGGACAATAGGTAATTGCATGGTGACCCAGGTTGGCAATATTTTCATGAAAGTCGACCAACTGCAAATGACATACCTTAGCTGTTTCTAAACTGGCTAATTGCTGGCTCAACCGATACAGGTGTAGGTCTGTGACTGCTGCCAGAAATGCATGTAAAACTCGAGCGATAAGCAGGATAAACCGTGTCGAGTCCAACTGAACAGACTGACCCAACCAGTAAAACGGTGCGATCAGCAACGGATGAAGAGGGCTACGCAATGCCACATCAGGACGCCATTCCCAAGTAAGCGAACCGAATCTGGAGGAATAGTTGATGACAGGGTGCATGTGAGTAGAAAGGAAAGGCCAACGGAAGGAGGGGAGTGGGTGAGTATGCAGATACAACCATAAAGGAATTTCCATCTACACGAGAGCAGGAAGAAACATCATGATCACAGGTTGTGTGGGATTCAACTATTTCGTGGTAATCTCATCAGCTTTGTACATACAGTCAGACCACATTTGGTTAAAAGAGTGACAGGTTGGGGACAGGCAAACAAACATGAGAAAGAGAAATCAATAAATACGAAGGCCAAAGGTCACTAATACGAACCGAATACCTTTCTGACGGATCAAGACACGTAAGGCGTCCCTAGGTTTGTCACATTCTTTGCAATTCGGTATATGTCGGACGACTGAACTGGACGGAAGCCTGAACCCTTTAGACGCAAATTTCTTCGTTACATGCTCCGCTATCCTGGTAGACAATTGCCCCTCGGTTATTCCGACGTACTTGCTCCCACAAGTACATCGAAATAGGTAAACAGAGGAGAAGGTAACTGAAGAGTCGGATTTGTCCAGATTGGACTGAATAAGCGTTCGCTTCGTGTCGTGCAGTATTACAAGTGAGGCAGCATTATACGTTCTTTCCATCGCTTGTTTCAACCTGCGCTGTATCTACCTATCATTTTCATCACTCTGAAACGGTATGGTGATGAAAACAGCTTTCTTCTGATGTCAATTAGTTCTAGTTTATTTAACGGCGCGCCATTTTTGGATATACATTTTTTAGGGTTAAAACAGAACTGTGCATATTTAGTACATAGAAGCAATAATTTTCGCAGACTATGCGCTAGAATCTTGAGTTCGTCGACATATGAACATATAATGTCAACAGTTTCACAAAGAGGGACATTAGGGAATAAGTCATACGGGACCATGTGTTTATGAGAACATTAGGATCACAGATTTTTCAACAAAGTCAAATCAGTCTTGCAGAGTTTTATTCGAAAACTTTTGCTTGACTGGTTGAATGAGTTTGACTAACCATCGTGCTAACTCTTGATGGACTTTGGCGAGTCCATACGTACGAGGTAGCCCAGAGCCTCGGGGGGATGAGTTGAGCAAGTATGGGAATACTAATACGGCCAAACTTAGACAATTGACGTAATTCACGCACGATGAATGGTTCCACAGTAACTGTTTAGTCACATCCAGAGCGTTCAGGAAAAGTTTGCTTCTATACGAAATCACTTCTAGCATTTTTCGAAAATAATCCCGTTTATTCATGATGATTGCTCGAGATCCATTGTCGGACCTTAAAATCGTCGTTCTTTCTAAGTTCTTCTAATACTTTCTTCGTGGCCTCGTAGCCAAGCCGGTACAGCGTTCGCTGTACAAAAGCGTAGACGGCGTCCATGCGTGGGTTCGAATCTCACCGAGGCTACTAAACTTTTCAAAATCGACATAAAAACTTCAAATCTGCCAAAAAACAATTTGAACAATATATACATTAGTCATATATTATTTTAAAGACCACTGTTTGTCGATGCATTATCGTCACACGCACGATGCTTACCCAAATACCCATCGATGGGCCACTTCAATGGATTGCCAAAACTCATCCGGGACAAAGGCTGTTTGCTGGATAAGTGCATTCAGTATTCGGAACACGAGGAGGAAAGTGAACAACTTGGATTCACTCGTCAGCATACGTTTCCATGTGTGCATTTCTGTGCGAGATTGTAGTATACAGGATAAGAAATTCACGCGGAATTTAAGGTAGGTCAGCGATTGACGTTAAGACGAATAGTGGATATATCTAGTTGATTAAAGGGTAAACCAGTAGTGTTTATCCTCGGTTTGCAGCGAACGTGATCAAGGGGTTTAGATTATAATCGCACTGCTTCCAATGTGTCGTATATTCGAGTCCCTCCACACCAACTAATTGCTTCATTTCTTCGTATTCTGTCCAATTCATGTTAGTGGATGTGGTTTGCTACTTCGAGTCCCAGGGATAAGATTGCCGGTTACCATCAATAAACTGTAGATCCTCCTGACTATGCAGTTTCTCCCTTCATCGAATGATAGTACGAATGTGAAAACAATGATCGCCTCTTAAGGTTTGACTGTACAATGGTTCACTCAGTGTTCAGTATCATTATCCAGGAGATATGAATAGTTAGCTATTTCTTTGACAAAGATCAACTGGGGATATTGACAGTGTGAACAAGACCTACAACAAGATGTTTCCTTTGGAGCAAATGAATAGTGTGACTTTGCAAGAAACTCAACGGTTCTTCAACAATACTCGCACTTTCTCTTTGTTTAAGGAAGATACAATTGTAAATCAGCTTTTTTAGGAACGAGGCTATGAACAATTAGTCTTTCTGAACAAATACAGAAGTAAGGATAGACTGTTCTGGTGAGGGGATTCGAATAGACGACCTTCAAGCTGGCGATTTAACCAACTGATAACAATGATCAAGAGGTAGATACCGTCTAGATGTATTCTGGGTGCGATCAGCATTAGGTTGAATGGATGATGTTGTGCGGAAACTCCGGCACACCAAATTTTGTCTATCCAAAGAAATGGACTGTGAATTATTTCGACCAATTACACAATTTCGCGTATTGTGCGTTTACTAAAAGGAACATAACATTTCCGAATTCGCAAAAAAGAGATTGTTCGGGACTGATGTATCCCTCATCCCCAAATGCTTCAGGAATACCGTCAAATTCGTATTGCATGTATCATTCGTTTCTAGAAATCAGGTGCACGTGACTACTGCGTACCTAGCAATATGTAACATAATCATAAACATAATCACAATCATGTAACATAATCATTTGATTTATATCACTACAGTCCAAACTTTTCCAGTTTCAGATTATCAAATAAATCACCAAATAATAATAAAAATAATACAAAATAAATCATACGTGATTCTCGATGGCTAAGAAACCAATTCATAATTGGTTTTTGGGTGCACAAATCAACGCCAGAGATGTTCACCACTGAAATAACTGAAAACCTGATCTGCCAGACGGCATGTTAAAACCACATTGCATTCGGGATGGGTGCCCGGTAAAATTGGATCTTATGTCCTTCGGACGACTTCACATGTCCAGGGCGCCCAAAACACCGTTTTACCTTATCGAACCGATGACTATCATGATCAGAATGTTTTAGGGCAGTTCCAAGAGCTGAAGTTTAGGAATCCGGGATTCCAAGCTCCGGTAACTGATCTACTTGCATCAGTTATTGACCCGAGCCATTGGCTTTCAGATATTTCACTCAAGCGAAAATACTCTCGACGAGAAAACGTCGGCAGTACAGCATTCCAGCAGGTGCACTTTGTGACATTTCGTGGGGAGGAAGTAGAGTGATCCAGGAGAACCAAGCAAGCAATTGTTTCAAGTGGGTCACTCGAACATTCAAGCCGATCGAAGTCCAGGGGAGAGGCTGTTTAAGCCCATCCACCCAGTGACCTTGAGTGACAGAATGGCACAATGCACTTCCACGCTGACACGAGTACGTGTACGGACTGCTTTCGATCCTGGAACTGAGTTTGGAGAGGGTTCGTATATCCTTTGTCTGATGGAGATGATGAACTAATGCAGAAATAAACTAAGAGATTAACTTTTAGTTCCTAGTTTTTGCAACCATTAATCATGCACTTTCGTGTGCCGGTTCTGGTTAATGTTTTTGGCCGCCCATGTGGATAAAAGAACACAATGAAAATTAGAATGTTGACAGCAAAGTCAAGAGGAGGATAGCGAATTCCTATAGACTGGTGTTACAAGAATAAGGAGTAGATGCACGAGCGCCACTGTTTGCGACACCCAGCCATATCGCTCAGTGTCTCTAACCACTG